AAAATGGCTGCTTTGACATTTACCCAGAATGCCAAAAAACTAATCAGATCTAGATTTTCATACTAAGAATCATCCCTGAAAATTTGAAATTGATCGACCACACGGTTCACCAAAATATGCGTAGACAAGACTTTACGGGCAAGATTTTAAGATGGAAAATCCAAAATGGCTGCCTTGACATTTACCTAGAATGCCAAAAAACTAATCAGATCTAGATTTTCATACTAAGAATCATCCCTGAAAATTTGAAATTGATCTACCAAACAGTTCACCTGGAAATGTGTAGACAAGACTTTACAGACAAGATTTTAGGACGGAAAATGCAAAATGGCTGCCTTGACATTTACCCAGAATGCCCAAAAACTAATCAGATCTAGATTTTCATACTAAGAATCATCCCTGAAAATTTGAAATTGATCTACCAAACGGTTCACCTGAAAATGCGAAGACAAGACTTTACAGACAAGAATTTAGGACAAAAAATCCAAAATGGCCGACAATAAAAAAGTGATTATAAGTTTTTGCCGATTTCTTTTTACAAAATTATCACATATAACTACTGTTAACAATTACATAGGCTTTTACAACAAAGTACACCTGCAATTATTTATAAAGCTACAAAATAGTTAAAGTATGAAAACTGAAAAACACCATTCAATATGATACAAAGTATTATCGCGCGCTAACTTTTCTTAAAACATTCAAAATGGCTGACATGACTGAGCTAACAGGTCCAAAACCTAATCAGATCTAGAATGAAGTGAGCTGAACAAGATGTTAAAGTTTCAAAAGCAACTGTGAAGCCATTTTTCTTAAAGTTTGCAGACAAGGATTTTAGCATTTGACTTCAAAATGGCCGACAGGAAGTAGGTATCGAGTTAATTTTTTTTCATCCACATCTAGATGCACTCATAAGTTAACCCTGAAAATTTGAAGGTGATATCTGTAGCGGTTTTGGAGAAAACTGCCGGACGTACGGACGGACGGACAGACGGACATACGGACAGACAGACGCGCCTAGGCCGACAATATGGCCCCACACTATGTGGTGGGGACATAAAAACGTGACTTTTTTACGGAAGATTTCAGAAACTGGAGTTTTTGCGGTCGATTTTGTAAAAAACTGGAGTTTTTTATGGTAGATTTCTGAAAAAAGGGAGTTTTTACAGTAGATTTCTGAAAAAAACGGGAGTTTTTACTTTATATTTTAAAAAAACGGGAGTTTTACAGTAGATTTTGAAAAAATGGGAGTCTTTACGGTAAATTTCTGAAAAAATGGGAGTTTTTACGGTAAATTTCTGAAAAAACGGGAGTTTTTACTTTATATTTTAAAAAAACGGGAGTTTTTACGGTAGATTTGAAAGAACTGGAGTTTTTACGGTAGATTTCGGAAAAACGGGAGTTATTACGGTAGGTTTCTGAAAAACAGGTGTTTTTACGGTAGATTTTGAAAAAAACAGGAGTTTTTACGGTAGATTTCTGAAAAAACGGGAGTTTTTACGGTAGATTATGAAAAAACGGGAGTTTTTATTACTTTGGAAACGAATTGATCAAAGCTAGTAAAATGTATATGTGGCATTCACTATATGCTAAGGGCATTCTGCGTGAGGTTCCATTTTTAGGTTCGGTTTTTCGCGCATGAGCATTAAATCCAGCGATTTAATTGGTTGAAACTATTATGACGCATGCGCAGTTAATAAATTAATTAGAACTTATAATCTAAGATAGATGTCACTTACGTTCATTATTTCACAGAAGTCCCTACCCATATTGCGCCTTATATTGTGGGAATATTTTGTTTAGCGCCATATATAAACAAAATGTATTCTCCCGACAGAAGTATGACAGAATATGAACTGGCCCCCGTTTGTGGACATTTGGTGTGCAAACTTATACCGAACTGATCTCAGAAAAGCAATTTAAATCATGGGAATGAAGTACTTTTAAGTTTTTTACGCAGATAGCAGAATTTTTCTTAGGAAATACATCCTAAATAAATACAAAGTGAGGAAGGCTTCTTGAAAAAAAATGGAAAAAAATTCTTCCGGGTTTTTAATTTGCAAATTGTACATCATAAAACAGTTGAGACATGACTAATCAATACAGATTTACGATTAACAGGGTTCAAGGCTTGAGTTAACAATGAAAACTTACCGCAAAAGGATCGCAGTATTGTCAGGTCTTCGAAGATTGTTGGAGAGTTCGAAATATAGATCGTTGTTCTTCGCATAAGGCACTGGCAGTACACAGTGCGCGTAAAGAGAATTGCATCAATGCGTACCACATTCGTTTTGCGCAAATTTTCACCAGTTTGTTTTTGAATATAACATGTTGTTGTGATCTTTAATCGAAGCTAACATATCCCTTACATTTTTCTTTATCTTGGTGTGAAATAACAAGCTATGATATTGATTAACATGCCAGAGATTGAAATAATATTATTCGAAGCGTTATTAGAAAATTCAAAAATTTTGAACCGCCATATTTGTTTACCGATTTGGACCAATCAGGACGGTATGTCATCTCAATACTAATGGAACAAGTAAGTTTTTAAAACATTTTGCTGTTTATTCAGTATCACGAGGCTCAATTACATGTATGACCAAAAATAGAGTTAATTTGTTATAAAAAGAGTGTAGAAAACAATGGTGCAGGTTGCATAAGGAGTAGTATTATGATAGAAGAGATATCGGACTTTCAAAAACCGGAAGTGAAATCATATCCAATTTTTCCAAGAAGCCTGCCTCACTTTGTATTTCTTAAGGATGTATTTTCTTAGAAAAATTCTGCCATCTGTGATTTTACGGCCATATTTTTTAAAAAATTACGGGAGATTTTAGTAGAAATATGGTACAGGAGTCTATGGGAGTTTTTACGGGAGAAAACGGTACGGGAGTTTACGGAAAAACAAAAAATTTACGGGAGATTCCCGTAAAAAAACGGGAGGCTGGCAAGTCTGCATGAGGGAGTAAAAAAATATTGACTGATTCTTAATTCTTTCACACTTTACCTTACTCACTTCGAGAGCCATGTTAGATTTTGAAACTTATTAAGAAAATCCAAATAGGAAGTAAACTTTAGATCTAGAGTCCATTTCACTGCTGAACTGCGTCAGTAAAACCTAAAAAAAAAGAAATCACAATAGCATCATGCAATAATATATGGAAAAATATGTTCCTATTGTACATGAATGACATTTGTATATCTTGGATTGCTTCTAGTTTGGCTTATAAAGTGTGTGGCCTCTCATATATGGATACTTCTCTGCCATGTTATTTTCAATAAGATTAACATGGCTGAAATTCTTCAAATTACAAGAGGGCACAGACTTATTGCACAAAAAACTAGAAAATCTGAAATATACAAATGTCATTCATGTACAATATGAATCTACTTTTCGATATATTATTGCAAAATGGTCTCCCGTTTTCTTATTTTTGGGGTTCTACTGACGCAATAAAACCACATGCTATCTATTGCAAGACTTACGCCTGCCACAACCGTCACCATGTTAATCAGTGTTTTTTAAGTAGCGCAAGGATCCTGCCATGACCGTGGTAGTGTTATCGTGTAAGCCTGGTATAACCGTGACAGGCTGGTATAACCGTGACAATGCTGTATTCTCTTGCAAGGCCTGTCATGACCCTGGAAGTGTTATCGTGGAAGCCTGGCGCGACCGTAGCCTTTATTGTGGTTTATAAGCGAATGTGAATATTAATGTATAGTAGTAATTTTGATTTTGACATGATTAAGGTAGTTAAACACCATAGTATTAAACTGTTTAATTGTAATGAGGATCACTTAAAATTGTTAAGGATATTCCTGGCATTAATGTCATACATATTTACTAGTCATTGCAATACATTATAACAGTCATAGTAGACCTAAGCCTAAATCTCTACATTACCACCCTCATACCTGGCCTTGCAATACTATATTACATTGTCACGGTCATACCAGGCTTTGCGATCCCATAATACATTGTCATGGTCATGCCAGGTTTTCAAATACACATTGTCACGGTCAATTATAGCAATAATAAATTTCTACATTACCACTCTCATACCCGAACTTGGAATACTAGATCACATTGCCATGGCGGTCATACCAAGCCTTGCAATACTATATTATTACTCGAGTCTCTAGCTTACAGCTAGACGTAACTTCATTGATTTTGTATGTACTCTAGAAAAGGTGCTACACGCACCTAGAACTCATTTTTAATAAATTTTATGAATATTTTTAAGAATATTAATCATATTTAGGATGAAGCGTTGCTTGTCTGGATTTAGATATTTCAAAATTTCATTTCGGAGTTTGAAACATGATGAAATTTTCTCGCTGTAGCTAAAAATGGCTTCCGGTTCTGGACGTGAATAAAATTTGAAATTATTCTCGCTTAAAGAAATCAAATATAACAATAGATTCAGACGGGGATGTGAGCTGATGTTCTTCAAATCTATACATAAAGGTATATTTCATATTATTATGCCATATTTACTTTGCGTGTGACACAATGATTTACAATATTTATAATACTAAGGCAGCTCAATCTTCCTCCTCAAAGCCGGAATATAGAGAAGGCTTTGGACCGAAGTAACTATATTACATTGCCATGGTCATGCCAGGCTTTGCAATACACATTGTCACGGTTATAGCAGTCCTAATCGTAAATTTCTACATTACCACTCTCATACCTGAACTTGCAATACTATATTACATTGTCACGGTCATGCCAGGCCTTGCAGTACTATATTACATTGTTACGGTCATACCAAGCCTTTCAGAACTATATTACATTGTCACGGTCATGGCAGGCATTGCAATATAATACAGCATTGTCGCGGTTATACCAGGCTTTCACGATAACATTACCACGGTCATGGCAGGATCCTTGCGCTACTTAAAAAACACTGAATAACATGGTGACGGTTACGCCAGGCGTTAGTCTTGCAACAGATAGGGTCTCAATAAAACAGTGAAATGGACTCTAGGCCTACCTGGTTGACTGTAAACTCCTAATAGTGGTTGAGGGTCGTCTTGGCGGATAAACCTGATCAAAAAGATCACCAATACACAAAGAAATATCTCAAGCAACATATCATTAAATCTCTGTGAGTTTGTGTTCATACGTGTGGTTGAAAACTAGGTGGTGGACTATGTCACTTTCCCTCAGCTGATTTTGTTTTTGAGAAGTAAGAATATGTCAAAGGTCACACCGTGAGTTGCAATAAATTTGCGAACGCGCAAAAGAATGATTAAAAGTCCACGATGGGGTAACTCCAGTATTAAAGAATTTAGAAGTTTATTAAGGCACGGCTACTGTGTTATCAGGGCATGGCCAGACTACAATTATACAAACTACATTTATACAGTTACATTACATATACAGTCACATTAATTCTACATTGTGTTGTAATGGTTGCGATGTTATAGATTTCTTTTCTTAAGGTGACTGTTAACTTAATCGATTTTCAGAAAAAATTGAAAATTTCACAATCTTGAAATTTTCAAACTCTTCCTGAGAAGTTGTTTTTATTATTTCACATATGCTTTTGCACTGTAATCATTACAAAGACATCAAAGAACAACAAAAAACATTAGTTTGAGAAAAAAGTGCCGTTTAAAGAATTTGAGAAGATTTTTTTCTAGGAGTAGCCCGTGAAAAACCGCTGATTCAAAATATCTGAACATTTCAGAAAATATACTTCAAACATATATCAAAAACGAAGGAGCAACGGAAATTTGAAAAATTACCCGATAAAAAAATTGGGATCAAAATAAGGAAAAAAGTACACTTCTCAAATTGTTTTTTTCTATTTTTTTTAATTTGTATGAGAGATTTCAAAATTCTAAAGCTACTTCCATTTTGAGCTATATTAAAGGGATGTTTCAGAGAAATTAGAAAAAAAATGTTCAGGGACCTTTGCCGTGCTACTCTTTTTGTCAATTTTTCTGTCACATTTTCAGAGGACTCAAATTCCCATTCCAAAATGTTTACTGTTTCTATTTGCATTACCACAGTGAGCCTGGTTTTATAAATGATAAGTGGAACCATGGGCTTTCAACTAGAAGGGTAGGCAACTTCCCATATTTCATACATAAACATTGCCATGGGTTTTCAAAATTGGAGAATGTACACATTCCAAGAAAATCTTATTTTGTACTTTTTATTGATGATTAAAAGAAATAACTCAAAAATAAAAACATGATCTTCTACATACATCTTGATAATTTAATAAAAATTGGAATTCATCCTAATTATGACAATACAGAAAGTGAACATTCTCCCACAAATTATCTTTTTATTGGAATGTGTTCTTGAATAATTACCCACAATGCAATACTCAAAGAGAACATCTTGATAACTCTTATTCTTATTGGTCTCTTTTGTTTACTTTTATATGATATTGAATATATTTTAAGCTTAAATCATATTAAAAATTGATTTTTATTCAAAATAATACTAAAACATATACATTTATCTAATACTTTTTGAAATATTGCCATAAAAGGGAAGCATGTCATTGCTCATTTTGAAGGTCTCATGTTATTACATAGAGTTGCATACCCTTCTAGTTGAAAGCCCATGGTGGAACTAAAAAATTGAGAGAAAATCCAACCAAAAGACAGTTAATTTTGATGGTCAGATTATACTCAAATGCCATGTGCTTCCTGGTTTCGGCCATCTTGGATTTTTTGATTAAGTTATAAGTTACCTTAAAGCACATTTCAATGAAATGCAGCTGAGGACTTCCTCCATTAATTTGATTTGTATGATATAAACACGGTCTCGTTAAGTCCGTTCCGTATTAGTAGTTTTGTTGACATTAATACGGAATAAATCACACCATTTCATGAAAAATGGTGATCTTGTCCTACGGAAATTGAGATTATGTTTCACATCAAGTTCGCATGGCGAACTGTATAGCACATGCTCTGGGAAATTGATTCTACGTTCTATAGACACAAAACACATCTCTGTCCATGGAATAGTAAAAAAGTCTTAGGGCCCGAACCTCCTTTGTTTACATTTACAAAAACGTGAAAAATGACAACAACAATTGTCGGTACGGGAGCAAATACTCACTGGCCAGTCTCCCGTACTGACAATTGTCGGTAAGGGAGACAGTCCGGTTTTCAAAAAAGTAGATATTGGTACATTAATGTTGGAGACATAGATCCCGGCAAGATTATTTTGTAGTAGAATCAGTACACTGTAGAGTGTAGCTCAATTAATATTCCTCTTTGAGCCTATGAGATCCTACTACAAAACAATAAGGCCAACATCTTTGGTTGGAGACAGAAGTGAGTAGCTCCCATAATTTTTTGAGCCTCTGAGATCCTACTACTACAAACCTATAACAAAACAATCTGGCCAACATCTGTATGGTTGGCCTACCCGCCCGAAGTATGCACGTGTTGTTTACAGGTGTGTAGGCGTTAATAAATACGCTCGTGCAGATGTAAAATTACGCCCGTGCAGACGTAAAATTACGCCTGTGTAGAAATTTAGCCCGTGAAGAAGTAAATTCTACAGGCGTTCAAACAACATTTACAGTTGTAAACTTATGGCGTTAAAATAATTAATTACGGGTGTTAAGACGGTTATTTTACATGCGTCCCTCGAGTTTATTTTTAGCGCTGTAAATTATGAACCAATCAGCACCTTACTTTACATAATGATTCAAAGCATCTTTGCTAAAAGAGCAACTCCAAGATCCTTGCACAAGTAAATAACAATCAGAAGCCCGCTTACATTTTAGTGTGTTGCATTGAGGTCCTTTAATATTCGTTCAAGATTGTAAGACTTAACCAAAAAAGTATTCAATTTTTAGAGCAAATTAAAAGGCAAATTGAAGATACATGTACTATGTCGGCAGTTATCAACACCAATTGTAGAAATGACAAAATTGCATATACATGTATGTATATTTTGAGAAGGTATACATGTTTGGTTTCTAAATACGATGATTTTTGGATAATTCTCCAATCTAGGCGTCGGCTTTAGAGGTAGGGACTTAAGCTCACATGCATTGCAGCTTACAAAACACAATACAGTCAGATCGCTAATGTATCCCTCTAAAGGATGTGTTCAGATACTAGAACTATAGTATCTGATCAACTGCATATTGACTCTAGACTATAGCTATATCCTATAGATCTGGCATTTTTTTAACGAAGTGTCTGGAGTACCTTAAAATTTAAGGCTCTTTAGCCAAAATGCTAAAGAGCCTTAAAATTTAAGGCTATTTAGCTGTGAACATAGTGTTTTGTCTAGAGAGCCTTTGTGTTTATAATCCGTGTTTATATTGTTTTTTTATTGAAGTTTTCGTCATCTAAACAATTAAACAACACTCTCGAAAGTTTTTCAACCCAGAATGCCACTTAAAAATTTCACACATGTATATCAATATAGAGTTGCAAAAAAATTATTCATATTAAAGTAAAACACACTGGTATAGTGGTTAGGGTGCTCGCTTTCCACTTCCGCGGCATGGGTTCGATTCCCCGACGGAGCACTTTTTATTTTGAATAACAAGCCGGAAGTTTGTTCTCTGAGGTCCGGAAGTTATGCTGATTTTAGAATTTTTCACGTGACGAGATATTTTTGCATAATATTTTCCTCACAAGTGAGAATTTTTAAAAGCACATGAGAGAGCACAAAGAAAATTTACAGTACAAGAGGTGAACTGTCGAGGAAACAGCGGCTTATGCAACACAACAACAACATTTTTATCCTAGCCTCCAATCCATCAATAAATGTCTATACATCAAAATCTTTACTAAACGGACGTTGCGATTTATAGTGGATAAAATGGAAAAAATAACATTTTTCTGGCTATATGTGATTGCCTTGTCTTACACCTTCTCTGGTGAACCAGAGACATATATTTTCGATATATGCATGAACATCAAACAATCAAACATTTACTTTTCAAAATCGATGTTTGAACCTTTAAAAAGCCAAATTTAGACTGAGGATTGAAAACATTCTTTTATTTCTCTCGGTAGACCGGAAGTAAATTTATGAGTCGAGCAAAAAGTGATAATGTTTTTTTTATGAAGTGGGGAAGTCAAAACAGTACTAATAGAAGTCATAGTAAGTATTAGAAGATCATTTAAAACCATGTAAATCAAATCGACGGCAAAGTTAGTTGAAATTACTGAAATCTTTATATGTTATCTTCTTCATCTTCGCGGACCTCAGAGAAGGCACTTCCGGTTTAATAATCAGTGATTTTATCGATAAAAAAAAAAATCTTTTTGAATTTGTCCGATATCTGCTAATATGGTATGTATATTTGTGCTGATTGTTAAATTACAAAATAGGTTGGGTATAGAATATGTCAAAGTCGTTTGATCTTGTCCCAGAAGCAATATTTCGTCATTTCTGTCGCCTGGAATTCCTTTAAGGCTCTCTAGCAGAATTGGCTATCAAAATGCTAAAGAGCCTTAAATTTTAAGGTTCTTTAGCATTTTTGCTAAAGAGCCTTAAATTTTAAGGCTCTTTAGCATTTTGGCTAGAGAGCCTTAAATTTTAAGGCTCTCCAGGCACGGCCTTTTTTTAAATGTACTGAATATGTCAGATGAGCCTATATACCTAGTATACCTAGCCAATATAATAATGTTCAAATTTGGTATAAGGGAGATGTGTACTTTTTGGAATCTTTATGCAGTCCTCTTCAGAGTCACATGTTATTTTCAGGAATACATAACTCATTTAAAGACCCAAATAGTCCTGAAATTCTGATCACTGACCCTAAAAAGGTTCAAGCCACCATTTTGGAGTATTGGAAAAATCTAGGAATGAAAAGTAAAAAATCCGAAGTTTCAAATTAATGGCCTGGCTGAAAAGCTAAGACTATTAGAAGCAGCTAATGATATTTCAGGGGATGCTCTAACAGATATAATATTTGAGATGGATGATATTAGAAATATAATTTCTGGTCTCAATAATAGCCAAGCTTCAGGTATTGACCAAATCCTCAATGAGTTTATTAAGCAGGCTAAAGATTTTCTCATCAAGCCCCTTTTTGACCTCTTTAGACTGATAAAAATACATGAAACAATTCTTGATGAATGGAAATATGGTATTCTCAAACCCCTTCATAAAGATAATGACCGTGAAATTCTTGATAACTATCGAAGAATAACCATTACATCAAATGTATACAAAGTATTTTCCAGCATCTTAGAATCTAAAATTATGTCTTATTTTCAAGGTCATAACCTTCTTGGACACTTACAAGGTGCCTTTCAAAAGGGTAAGCGCTTAGAAAACCACATATTCACATTGAAAGGATTATGTAGTATGAGAAAAACAAATAGGTTGAAAACGTATTTTCCATTTATTGATATCTCAAAGGCCTTTGATGTACTAGACAGGGATATGCTCTTCATAAAGCTTTGGGAACGAGGAATCCAGGGTAAACTTTGGAGAACGTTAAAACACCTTTACTCTAATGTCCATAGCAGTGTCCTGTTTGGTAATATTTCTACTGATCAGTTTGATTCCAACACAGGTGTTAAACAAGGGTGTATTCTCTCACCTACATTATTTTCAGTAGTTATGTCTGATTTGGAAGAATCTTTAATGTCTACAGGTCTTGGCATTCCATTTGAAGGGTCCCACATCCCCACATTATTATTCGCAGATGACATTGTTCTTTTAGCAAAAGATGAGAATGGATTAAAAGAGTTGTTATGTAAAGTTAATAATTTTGGCATAAAATGGGGATTTAAATTTAGCAGTAAGAAGTCAAAAGTCATGATTATAGGGAAAAGGGTTGACACTGACAGGGTATGGAAACTAGGCGACTTAAAACTAAGTGAAGTCAGGGAATATAAATACCTTGGATATATGTTGCATAGTAACCTTAAAGATTCATTCAATATTAATAAATTCTTACATGAGAAAGCACGTAAGATGATTACACAGCATCGACCCTCACTAAGCATTGTAATGTGAAACGTATTTAATATGGTTCAACAATATATAAGTCCATGATAGAACCTGCCTTACTTCACAGTTCCCCGATTTGGTCGGCTTTAACAAATGAAAGCAGGAAAACCCTTGAATCTATTCAATATAAGGTTGGGCAAGCAGTGTTTCAGCTAAGGGGCAAGCCAGCCAGTTCTGCATTATAAGGTGACCTTGGTTGGCACCCAATTGACTCTCTTGCTGAAAAACGTTCTATAGATTTCTTTATGTACCTCAAATTTAAAATACCACCATCATCCCTACCACACAAGATTCTAAATGCACTAATGATCCAATTTACTGAAAACAAAGAAGGCCCTTGGAAGTACATCTCAACCATTCATAAGTTATTAAGTGATAGAGGTCTTAATGATGTCATCTTTAGAAATGATGGTGATTGGTATGCGTCATACCTTAAAATTCGCAAATGTGAAAACGACATAAAATTCCACTCTGAAGTTTCAAAATATAGTTCACTATCACTTTATTCCAGTTTCAAAAATCATCCATATCTAGAAAATTATCTGAAGAATGACTATGACTTTTATGGGTGCAAACTGAAGTTCATGGCCCGAGCTAATATTTTTGCATTAGAAACCAATTATGAATCATGGCACATGAGTGATGGATTTTGTTCATTCTGTGAAGCAAAAAAGAAGGACACTGTTCAACACAGAATTTTGGAATGTACTCATTTTAATGATGAGCGCCAATCACTTTATTTTAGTATAAGACAGAAATGTAATGAAATTATATTTTCCTATTTTATCTCTGCAAGCTCAGAAAAGAAACTTGGTTTTATTTTAGGTGATGATGTATTTTTATTATGGGGGCATGATCAATTCAAAAATGTTGACATGATTGTAAAAACATTTTTAAGTTAAGTATACAATCCTAGAGATACAAGTGTGACTTGATCCCACACATCTAATGTTTGGTACTTTGTTTTAAATACTGTAACATGTTTTAGACACACCTATAATAATTTAATTTTAGTGTGCCATCGTTTCAAAGATGTAGTTTCTAAATAAATAATAAATAAATAAATAATTTAATATACAATGTACATCTTTCACATTAAGTGCACCAAGATACCCAGAAAAGAAATAATATTTCACATGTCATCAATTACAATAGTTATTCCTGGCACAATCGTGAGTATGTTATTAACTTGCACAAGGATCTTGGAGTTGCACTTTTAGCTAGAATGCATTGTATCATTATGTAAGCAAGATGCTGATTGGTTTATAATTCACAGCCCTAAAATAAACTCGACGGGCGTATATATGCTTTTCAATGCGTGTTAAATAATGTCTCAACGCCCGCTATTGAACATTTTAACGCCTTTAGGTTACACCTGTATTTGTTTTAACGCGTAATTCACTTCCGGGCGTAATTAACGCCTTCACGGGCGTAATTAACGCCTACACGGGCGTAAAATACGACTGCAAGGGCGTAATTTCACGTCTGCACGGGTGTAATTAACGCCTTCCCACCCGTAAACAACGCGTACATACATAGGGTAGGTTGGCAAACCATAAATTTCATGTCTGCATGGGCTTAATTAACGCCTACACACCCGTAAATGTACGAGTACCGTAATCCAACACCAAATTCGAAAATTCAGAACAATACTTTGCACATATGGCGTTCCTGGTCAACTATTTAACGCTTACCCCCTATAGTGTTATATATCAAAATGTACTTGTTCATATAGGGGTTCGATTAATCTACATCAAATTATAGGGAGTCAGGTTACTTTTTGAGATATCAGCGTCCATTTATTGTAACTAATTCTGAGATGATGGGCAAACGCGTAGTGAACACGCTCACGTCGGAACTATTTTTGACCTACATCGCTATTTTCGTAATTCAAATGAAAGTTGAACTCCTCCTCTTAATTTTGATACCAAATAGTGGCATACTAGGTACCCTAGAAGCCAACTATGGCGTTATTTAGAATGGACTATATAGGGGTCAATACCTTTTTGCGGATGGATATGGAATCTCATACCTAAACAACGCGTGCATATAGAGTAGGTTACCATACATCTGTGGAGAGATACCATTTCTGAGATCCACATTTGATCACGCATGCGTGTTATACGAAATCGAACGGATGGCGCATACTGTTTCGTTTTATTCCAAAATAGACTTCGTCTAGACGTCAACGAGGTGAGCAGAACTTTAATCGCAGCATGTTTGTTTCAAAAGACTTTTCATGAAAGATTTTATGTCAAATTACATGTAGGGGAAATGGTCCTGTCACCGCACGGGTACTCTGGAAAACTAGGGTCTACTGACGATTTCAAATATGATAACCACGGTGTATAACCCAAACGCTCCTACATGCACGACGGAGCGTTTCATTACTGAAATTAAACAAAGAAACGCTCCGGAGTAGGAAAACTGGCTGGCGGGAATGATGAGCCGTCTGACGATTTCCCCAATAATGGGAATAAGAGGTATGAGTTACATATTTCGAGTATACCATTCGATGGGTGTGATATTCATGTTGTACATGGCTGGCTGTTGACGTTTGAAGCAATTAGGAAGAGCTATACGAAGCAGTATAGTTATCAAAATTCAAAAACGTATTTGTCATTCTACCGGTCAAAACCCCTTTTGTCGATACATGTGATTAGTTGAGCCAAGATTAGAGCACCAACGTATATTTCAGTCAAATTCCAATGCTTCAACGCACCATACATTATCGTAATAGTGATTTGATGACCGAAAATCCAGTCTTAAAAATGATGACATTCTCATATTCAAGAAACGCTCCGATCTGATTAACACAGTGAACTGGAAACGCTCCGGTAGTCTAGACCAGTTTAGGAAATATATAGCTTGCCTTTCCTTTTCAGGAAGAGAAAGAAAAGATCTATTATACCCCTTGGCATCAATAGAAGAAAGATTAATTCACATATAAATTTTCGTTTTTTCTATAGTTTTATGAGTTAGCACATATGTAGGCATGACATCATCTAATGTATAGGCTTAAATCAGCTAGTTGCACGTTTAGCACCACCAGGTTCAGATGTTTCAATTTGCCTAACAAGTACAACACGTTTTTAAGAGATAGATTCGATTCGGGACTCTTCTCTAATAATCTGAAAATGATATCAAAACAAAATGGTAAGAGCGTTTCTAAAATTGTGTTCTAAATCGACGGAGCGTTTCGAGAAAAACAAGCGATTTCTCGAGAACAAGTAATGGATTTGGACTGGGATTTTAGGAAATGAGAATATACGAGTTTGTGATCTACTACTTTAACAGAAAGATTAACGTTTTCATAGAAATACTAGTTTAATTCGTAATTTGTGGTCAAAACGTCATCTTCAGATTCGTTCGATCTACACTACGGAGCTTTGATCAAGCAAATAACAGTTTACCACCAGAAGTTGAATAAATAAGATCTTTGCTCACGGTATTGTTCATCGAATGGTACATAATATTTCACCATAACATATGATGTGGAAGAGAAACGAGAGAAACAATACTTACGGTCATAGTGGAATCTTCATGAGCCGCCATTTTATTTCGCTCCGGAGCGTTTCCGCGTAAATGTAACGCTCCGTCGTGCATGTAGGAGCGTTTGGGTTATACACCGTGATAACTTCAACTTACAGTTGGGGACAAAAATAAATGACAGGTCGATTTTCGATCACCATTTCCTAATTATGGTCGTCTGAAAGTCCATAATTTCCAATATTGTCTAGATACATATCCCTTAAAATTTGTATATTTCACATTTTGTATAATCTCATCCACTGATGTATGGCCTCTTGAAAATTCTCTTATTTTTAACATGGGAAATTCTCACTTCAGCAAATCCACCTGTCATTTATTTATGTCCCGAACTGTACTTTGAGAATATGAGATGAAAGATCAACCTTTCTTCTAAAATTTAAGTACTGTTTGACATTTCTCAATCTTCGAACGCTAACACTTTAAGACCCCTTAGACTCGCATGTGCATGTCCTAATTAGCCTATCGCACAGTTGTGTTTCAGATGTCATTTCACGATACTGTATACATTTCTCTTACTTCGGTCCAAAGCCTTCTCTATATTCCGGCTTTGAGGAGGAAGATTGAGCTGCCTTAGTATTATAAATATTGTAAATCATTGTGTCACACGCACAGTAAATATGGCATAATAATATGAAATATACCTTTATGTATAGATTTGAAGAACATCAGCTCACATCCCCGTCTGAATCTATTGTTATATTTGATTTCTTTAAGCGAGAATAATTTCAAATATTGAATTCACGTCCAGAACCGGAAGCCATTTTTAGCTACAGCGAGAAAATTCCACCATGTGTCAAACTCCGAAATGAAATTTTGAAATATCTAAATCCAGACAAGCAACGCTTCATCCTAAATATGATTAATATTCTTAGAAATATTTATAAAATTTATTAAAAATGAATTCTAGGTGCGTGTAGTTGCGTGTAGCACAGTACATACGAAATCAATGAAGTTACGTCTAGCTGTAAGCTAGAGACTCGAGTAACATTTCTCTGTTTATAACAGATACATACATATGCCATAATCATTTTTCTATCAGTTTTAGTGTAAAATATCAACAAAATATCCATTATACACTTACTTTTCTGTCTTTATTTGGAGGGGGGTCAAACTTTGTCAGACGAATTTCACTTTTTGCGCAATAGCATACATGACAATAGCGGAAGTAAACAATTCTTAAAAAATTAAGAGATATTTCTAAATATATGAATAAATCATGAAGATTGGTAGTAATGGTGTTGAACTGTTTTTTGTAACACTGTTTTAAAAGATGGTGGGTGTATATTTTAGCTATTTAGGACAATCGTGCGATAATTAGGACCGTGCGATAATTAGGACCACTTCCCCTATTTGGTCTAGTCTGGTCAAAATAGATCTGAGTTTCAGTGAAACATTTTTTTCTCATAGGGCGGCTCGGGCTTTGTATAAAAAACCTCCTACCTCATACCCACCTACACTCTTTTTTTTAATTCTGTGAATCAGTTTATATGGTTAAAATAACGAAAGAATATGATGTAACCAAGTGTCTACTTACCAGCTTGTTCTATGTCATCCATCGGACTAGGTGCACCCTCTGCACGGATAGTGGGAAGTCCTCCATATACATGTATTACTTATATTATTTCTCAGGTAACGCAGCTTCCATCCAAAATAAAAAATATGTATTTTTAAAATAAATAATTTGTCTAGTTTTCATTAAAGAAATATCCTGAGACACATAGGGCCTGTAGAAAACACTAAACAGAAAAATAAAAAAAATATTCATACCTCCAAATCTGCTTTATTCGTCAGATAATGCACCAAATCATAATGGTTGTTCAAAATAAAAATTTAAGGGGACGGAGCGCCATATCTCGCGAGAATAAAGCAAATCATGCACCATCTCGCGAGAATAAAGCAAATCACGCAAAGGCGCGTGATTTTTTCAACCAATCAAATAGCTTGAAATTTACCAAACCATTTCGTCCAGTGTTTCACAACCGGAAGTAGGTCATTGACACATGCGCAGTAGAAATTGTCAATTTACTGAGCGGAACTTTCAATGGCCCGGAGAAATTTTACTCACGAGAATTGATGATTACTGAACACATATAGGCATAAGAGGTGAGCGACCCAGTTATTTTTGCGTATAAATGTTTCAAGAATAGCATGATATCAAATAATCTGTATATTATGCTACGATTCATTCAAAAATTGAATCTAGAGGACAGGTGACCATATTTTTTTCATATTTTTTAAATTTTTACCTGCATTACCTGGTGTATATACCTCCTAGATGGAGGACTTCCCACTATCCGTGACCCTCTGGGTCTCTGAGGATCGTGTTGGCCCCAGGGGTGCATAACGTGCAATGTAAATTTATCAAATTTGACTAGGTTACATTGTGGAACGCAGCCAAACACAACACTGAAGGCAACAGCATATCGATCTTGATCTTAGCCAAATTTTGGGAAATTTAGATCGTCCATTTTGCAAGCTCACCTGACTGATTATCGCATCCTATGACCCCTTTAGATTGTGGTCGTATGCCCGATTCATTGGTAAGCCTGTCTTTCTACAATGTCGGAGAATGAACTACGCATTGCACTATTAAATGACCTACCTCGATACATTCCAGAGTATTTTAGAATTCTTTTTATGTTGTTAGATCGCCAATTGTATGGGTTTATCGGCAGAACGAAGATATTTTCGTTTTTATTTTCGTAATATTTAACTCATTTCAACCGTCAAATTTCTCCATTCAGTTCCCGGCATGCACCAGTCATAAGGGAAATCCCTGGGGAATTCCCCTTCCGACATTTTGAAAATTGCTGACATATTTCCGATGTAAAAACTAGAACCTCTTTGTTCTGCCGATAAACCCATACAATAGACTAGATGCGAGTAGAAATAATATTGATTTACGTCATTAAATATTCAAAATTCAGTCAAAGTGATGTCATATTTGAAATCTGCATGTAAAAGTACATCTAGAAATATGGTTTCGAAAATTGTCTATCAACTTTGAAAATTTAATTTTTTTTTGAAAATGTGACTTCTTGTTCGGGTTGATTCCCCATACACCCCATGTTACAAAACCACAAAAAGTGAATTATCTTTTCTTGTATTGGACAGATAACATTTTCTTTTACTGGACTTATTTTAATTTGAATAACTATTAGATACATAAGGGTTTTGTGAAAATTGAACCACGCAAATAGATGTAATTTAAGTTAAAGGGAACTTTCTACTATACCCGCCATGCTATCTGACCCGAACGAGCCACCTGGTGGTGAATCTGGTAACTACCTACTCGCATCTGCGTTATTGGCGATTCAACTACATAAAAAGAATTCTAAAATACTAAGGAATGTATCAAGGTAGGTCATTTAGGTGTGCAATGCGTAGTATTTTCTCCAACTTTGTAAAAACATTGGCTGACCAACAGTTCGCGCGTACAACCACAATCTAAAGTGGTCGTAGAATTCGATAAGTGACTGACACGTGATATGTGTCTGATCACGTGACTAGTTTTCCGAGCATTTGCTACTGATTATAGAAGGCCCAATTACGCAACGAACGAACCTGAAATGATGCATTCAAATAAGACCACCTCCTAAATGAAAACACTACACATAAGGTGGTGAAAAACAACGAACTAA